CTTATGCGCACAGAAGTCAATGTCAAAGCTTTCAGATATAGCAAGTTAATTTCACTATATCGTCCAAATCCTACATTTGCCAAGGTTAGGGAAGCCAGAGAAGAGCCTGAAGAGAAAATTACCTCTGGTAAAACAAAGCAGATTGTAAAGTCATCTCTTGGATGTGAGTTTTTGTTGATGTCCAGTTTAATTTCAGGCACCTTGTCTCTCACTGCCATCCCCAGCAATCTCATCAAAATCTCCTCAAGATCATCATCGAAAGACATAGCCGATACAACCTGGAGCTCTTTTACCTGAGTTAGATTGCCTCTTTTCAACAATGCTTTTTCAATGTGATAAAGAAATTTGCGTCTGCAATTCGCATAGCCTGCTCCTTGGAAACGTCTCTCATCAAAATCAAGAATTGGGCTAGAATGATGCAGCCTATCCCATCTCTTCGACCAGACCGTCGATCTGGCAGCATCTTTCTCGGGCAACAGAGAGAGAATCAGCTGGGCTACCTGGTCTGGAAGAGAGCTGATTCTATCAACTGGGTCTGCTGGCTTGTTGGCTTCTGAGTTTTCTTCTGGTTTGCTCATCTCTTCGGGAATGGTTTCGTTAACTTTGGTACCCTCATTCTCGTTTTTCATCTCCATTGACAGGAAGGAAATCTCAGAAAACGAAATCTCAGTGGGTAGAGAGTAAGCTTCTGTGAATCTGAAAATGGGTGATTTGAATTATCAGACAAGGCTTCTCCTCGTGTCTGGATTTATAAGAGATTTGTCCTCTTGAAATTATCGCCCACAATGCGGACCTTCCATATATATTTTACATTTTAAAATAATAATAAGCTATTCAAAAATATAATTTAATGAATTTACTTATAAACAATTTCAATGTTTTAACAAATAAAATTCATTTCTTCCATTTTTTTGAAAAATTTTGGGTTCACCCTTCTCCAAAAAAAGATAATTCATAAATGGGTATTTAAATTTTTTTCTTAGTTATAATATATTTTCCAATTTCATTATATTATATCCTTCTAAATTCATCAATTATTACATTTTCCATTTTTATTTTTATTTTCTCTTGAAAACATAAGGGGGAAAGTAGATAACCCTTCTAATTATAAAACCATAAACCAGCCTTTGGAAAACCTAATCTCAAAACCATGGGGTTGTATGATAAAAACTGCCGTCGGTTTTATCTTCTGTAACGCTCTAGTAGGTTTTTGACAGATAATCCTTCATTTTGGATTTTTCCCACAAGTGAAGAGGTGCTCCGCTAATACTCCATTTTAGTTATATATATATATATATATATATATATATATATATAATAAAATATTATGTGGGTGTATAGCTTAACCAAAAAGAAAAAAATTAAAAGTGAACGTTACAGTTCTTACATTAATTTGATAACATATATGTGTTCTTATCTGAGGGGATATCGAAATCTGATTCTGAAATTGCTTTTTGACTTAATTTAGATCTTTTTCTACCAGTACTAAGAACCAATATTGAATTTGACTACTGTCTCACTTAATTATATATATATATATATATATATATGCATATCCGTTGTAAAAGAAGTATATATATATATATATATATATATATATTATTAGTTTATACATCCATGTTGTCTCACGTGTAGAAGACCGTGATAAAGTTTTGAGCCTTGATGAAATTGAATTTTGTAATGATTACTGTATTTCATACCTTAGAAAAGTTCTATCTCCCTCTCTTCTTTTTATCACATTCAATCCTCCTCTTTAAAACCATTTGTCTTTTTATGGACAGATTAAGAGAAAATTTATTGGGAAACCATATCTATACATATAAGAGGTATGTAATAAAGTCATGAGTCAATGTTGAGAGACCATATTAATGAATATTACAGGTGTATAATATAATCACCAGCCAATATTGTTATGTTAAAATATAGAATAATAGCTTTCATCACTTTTTATATTCTTTACTCAGATAAAATTATTTGTCAATTAATAAATTGAGTATCTATTTCAAGTTATTTTTCTTATGGAACCTATATAATTTTTTTTTAAATACCATCATTTAAAGAAAATTTAACTAAAAAAACTCATGAATTTACAAGTCATTCCAGTTCTAAGTGCTTTGAATTATTTAAAATATTATAC